GCTCGGCAGGGAGTCTGCTTCTCCCTCTGACCCTCCTCTCTCTCATTCTCTCTCTCTCAAATAAATAAATAAAATCTTTAAAAAAAAAAAAAAAAGATGGCCAGTTGTTACTTGTTCTGTTATCTTTACTCCAGTGTGCAAATCTAGGCATATATGAACAAAGTAGCTCCCAGGCTCAGCCTGAAGTTGTAGATTACTTCTGTGCCATGCAGAAGAGTAATATGTCTGGCCGTTCTTGTAGGCAAGAATATGAGTTAATAACAGAGTATTATGCCACATGTTCTTGGTATTAGTCATATATGGAATGTCTTCAATCAGCAGAACACAGCACTTCCTGGGGATCCCAATCCACAATCTTCTATAATCAGCTCCTGTCGAATATTTGGAGGAAATAATCACTATCTGAGAGGACAGACTACAGAATATGCTAATGGCCCAAGTCTGTAGGTTTTCCACGTTTCATGCCTATGTTATAAAACCAGAAAGCTAAAAAATAAGATTATGTGACCTCTGTTTTAATGGTCTTGATAGCTGGTAGGGCAAGCCCCACCCCTCCCCACACCCCATGCCCATAAATGCCAATTACATTGGATTTATAGATTAATTTGCAGAGCACTGGCATCTTTATGCTGTTGAATCTTTCCTTTCATGAATATGATACATTTCCATTTACACAGGGGTGGGTGGGTTTTTTTTGGTGTCCTTTAGTATTTTATATTACTACATTAAGCTATCATGTATATAATCTGTTTCAAGGTGTCTTGTAGTTTTTGTGGCTGTAATGAATGGCTTTTTTTTTTTCTTAAATAGGCTCCATGCCCAGCGTGGAGCCCATGCAGGGCTTAAACTCACACCCTGAGATCAAGACTTGAGGTGAGATCAAGAGTCAAACACTCAACCAGCTGAGCCACCCAGGTGCCCCAAGAATTGCATGCTCCACTGACTGAGCCAGCCAGGCGCCCCACCTTGCATTTTTTATAATGACAGTTACATCATATGCAAATTATGATAGTGTTGTCTCTTCACAGTTTCTCATGCATCTTTTTTTTTCTCAATTTAGTTAGGACCTCCATTGCAGTATGGAATAGAAAAAGTGATGGTGTGCATCCTTATCTTGGTTATGATTTTAAGGAGCCCACTTAATTTATCACTGTATTTGAAGTTTGATGTAGAGTTTTGCTAGATTCTTTTATCAGGTTTAAGGACATTGTTTCCTTTAATTCCTATTTTGAATGAATGTTAAATCTTATCAAAACTTTTTTTCCCAAATTAATTTAGGTGGTTAAATGCCCTCTCCCTCACACACACACACACACGCACATTTAATGTTTTAACATACTGAACTACCAAGCAGATTTTTTATTTTCCTTTAAAGACTGTTGAACTTGATTGCTATAGCTTTATGTAGGTTTTTTGCGTCTTTGAACAAAAGTGAGATTGGCCTTATACTTCTTTCTAGTTCTTTTCCTTCTGATTTTGATATCAGTATTAGCCACATGAAATAATTGAATAGTTTTCCTTTTTGTTTTTTTCTGTTCTTGGAAGCTTTTTGTAATCAGGGATCATCTACCCTTTGGTTAAAATTGTGAAATTGAGTGTGATGTATTTTTTTTATGGAATTTTTTTGCCTATCAATTCAGTTTCGTTAATGATCATTCATTTATTTAGATGTACTAGTGCTTCCAGAATAAATTTTGATTATTTGATAGTTTTCTAGAAAAGTGTCCACTTCATGTATGTTTTAAAAGTTGATAGCATTGGGGCGCCTGGGTGGCTCAGTCAGTTAAGCCGCTGCCTTCGGCCTAGATCATGATCCCAGGACCCTGGGATCAAGCCCCGCATCGGGCTCCCTGCTCAGCGGGAAGCCTGCTTCTCCTTCTCCTCCCCACTCGTGCTCTCTCTCGCTATCTCTGTCTGTCTCTCTCTCTCTCAAATAAATAAATAAAATCTAAAAAAAAAAGGTAATAGCATAAATATGCTCTAATATGCTTATTTTTGTATTTTAATAATAGTTAATTTAATAAAATACCAGTATAGTTAGCATACAGTGTTAAATTTGTTTCAGGTATACAGTATAGTGATTCAGCAATTCCATACATCACCTGGTGCTCATCACAACAATTGCACTCTTTCATCGCCATCACCTGTTTCACCCAACCCCCACCCCCTCCCCAGTTTGTTCTCTACACACACGTTTTAAGTCTTGTCTGTAACCTTATACATCTTTTCGAAGATTTCCACTATTATTTTGTCTTTTTATCAATCTTTCTGGGAGGTTTATCTATTTTATTGGTCTGTTCAGAGAACTAGATTTTGATTTTGTTGCTAATCTGTGTAGTTTTTTAAAATTTCATTGGTCTTTATTCTAGCTCTTCTAATTGTGGTGGATTTTTTTCTACTTTTTAGTTCTAATTTAATTTATATTTAGTTTACTTTTTT